TAAAATTCTGCCGATGTTTTTAAAATCTTCATCAAAATTTTATTTTTCCCTTGCACATATAACATTATAGTATGGCTATTCAAAGTTTATATTCTTTCGTGGTAATAGCATTCTGCTTAGAATTCTGTAGAATTGTGTCATCGAAGACAACATATCCCATTCTGATCCATTTAAATTTTTCTTAGAGTTCTACAGAATTTTATACATTTTAATGTTATCAAACACTATATATTCCATTCTGGTCTATTTCTATTGTAGTCAGAATTCTGTAGAATACTTCCTGACAGGTTAGTGTGGTACTTAGTAGTTTATTTGCTATTGGGAATTTATCTGAGTGAATTGATCTATTTTTTACCGATATAATAATTCTGTTTTACATTCTGCTAGGATTTTTTTAATTCTTTACTAGAAATTTTTTCCTGATCGATGTGTAGCCTCTGGTATGCTTATTGAAAGTTTGTATTCTGCTTACGATACCAGAATTCTGTTTAAATTCTGCTGGTATTTTTAAATTCTTTAGCAGAATTTCTTTTATCTTGAATGTATACGATTCTAGTTCGATTATTCAAAGTGTGCATTCTGTTAAGCGTAACACAATTCTATTTTGAGTTCTACTGATAATTTTAAAATTGTTTAGTAGAACTTTTTATTAGTCGATACAGGACCTTTTAGTGTGCCCTCTTGGATGTTTATATTCTGTTAGTGCTATTAGAATTCTGTTTAAATTTCCTCGTGAATATATTGACTCCTAGTATGACTATTGAAAGTTTGTATTCTGCTACTTGTAGCAGAATTCTGTTTAAATTCTGCTTGTATTTTTATATTCTTCTCAAGAAGTTTATTTCTGGAGGATATATACACTCCTCGTATGACTAGTGAAACTTTGTATTCTGTTACTTGTAGCAAAATTCTGCTTAAATTCTGCTTGTATTTTTATATTCTTCTCAAGAAGTTTATTCCTTGTGGATATATACACTCGTCGTATGTCTATTGAAACTTTGTATTCTGTTAGTTGTAGCAGAATTCTGTTTTAATTCTGCTTGCACTTTTAAATTCTTTACTAGATTTTCATGGCTGGCGGATATATACACTCGTGGTATGCTTATTGAAAGTTTGTATTCATAGGGAATCTATGGTTTACCGATTGGAATTTTAAATTCTGAATTCTGTTTGTTAGGAATTCTGCAGCCCCTCATAGGAAACCCTTGTAGCTACTCAGATCTCTTCGGACTATTACCATCGATGAGAAGGATAAAAATGAAACTGCTCTAAACTGTTATCTGAGCAGTGTATCTCGATTCCGTCAAAAACACGTCATTTTGCACAAAGGAATTCACTTTTCTACGCCAGAATAACCTTTTCATCGGTGTCTTTGATAAACAAAGACCAAATGAAGTATAAGGAGCGCATTGACGTTGACTGTCTGTCGTTTTAATTGAGTCAATAGTATGTTGTTGCCTCGACAACTCTAGAAACATTTGTCAAAATTGTTTGATTAAGTTGTAACTTTTTTCAGGCAGGTAGTAGATTACATAATCAAAGTGATTCTTCCTCCGGCTAAAATATTTGATGCATTCGATTTTTTGAAATAGAATGTATAATGTGAAAGGACGTGGTGCTATCGGGTATGGTTACCATGATGAACACATTTTTTCATTATCGTTTACCTAATCCTGTAGAACTGCATTAGAGACGTAGTTCATGTATTCTAATGAGATGTTAGTGACATGCAATCTCTGGTGGCATACCAACAAAGCCTGTCACAGTCTGTGAAGGATAATGAATGCAAATTTCTACTCTATATATTTCAACACTGTTTTTAGATCATCTTTCCCAAAAACGTGAGACATAAAATGACAGAAAAATATGACCAGAGACTTAAACGTGAGCGAATCATGTCGCTTCAGAGTTATTATTTGTTGTGCATTGACGCGAACCTCAGCTAGATGTGAAGAGCGGCAACTTTTCCCACCATTTACATATGTTTTGATGATTTAATGTCTGTAAGAACAGATGGATATAACAAAACGAATTGAGAATCAATGCAGCGAGTGTTGTTTTCCGCTCTTTTATTTGAGCAGATCTCAAGTTACTTGTACGTGTTGGTAAAGCTATTTTCTTGTGATTTCGATGGCTGTAGTTTGTTGAACAACTTGGTGAGTGACAGTATCATCAAGTAATCCGTAATAGAACGAGGTAGTCAAACGAGAAAATATAAAGTCAGGAGAGACTTGAATAATGTTGAGTGTGTTCATACATGTAGCATGACAATTAGAGACATTAATCGAGCGACGCCAAAATGAACATTATATAGAGAAATATTTTGTCATCTATCGACAGATTCAATACAGAACGATCATCTAGATAAGCACAACACAAAGGTATGATAGGAGTTGATGATCGAACTCCCATATTATTCGAAACACTTTTTTGAACTTATCATGTTTCGTTTACGTTTGATGCGATTCAAAACGTATTGCGCTTATGCAATTATAGTAATATTATTTGGATCACTTTTTTCCTATTTCAAAAACAAGTATGATGCACTCTATGCTCTCGCGAACATTTCACATATCGACACCTTTTGGCATCCAAACAACGATACTTCGATTATTCCTTCTCGGCGAGCCTCTCAAGTCTCATTCCATCATGACTTTGTTGTTGTTACAGCTTGTTGTCGAAATGTTATCGACTTCTTACCACATTTTCGACGAAATATCAAAAGTATCTTGAAAATTTTCAAGGACTATCGTGTGCTTTTGGGCGAATCGGATTCAACGGATGGTACATTGGTCTATCTGAAAAACTGGTCTTTAAAGGACCCAAAAGTACTTACCCATTCTTATGGTAGTCTAACAGATACATACTCGATGCAACGTGTGGACCGGATAGCCTATTGCCGAAACCATTTATTGAATACAGCTCGTAAAAACCAATGGATTTCTCGAACACAATTTCTCCTTGTTCTTGATGTTGATATCAATGCTAATTCAATTCTGTCTGTCAATAATTTTCTCAGCAATTTCGATTACAATCTAAACGAGTGGGGTGCAATGACGGCTTCTCAGAGCATGCATTACTATGATATTTGGGCTCTTCGATCAACAGTGGTCAACTACGACTGTTGGAAGGAAGTATCACGATATCCACAATATTCTGATATTGCTATTAAGATCTACATTGAAGTTCATACGAAACCTATTCCGAAAGATTACACTCTCATTCCTGTGCAGTCAGCATTTGGAGGATTTGCCGTTTATCAAACACGATACTTGAGCAATTGTACATATGATGCATTTGACGATCAATCACCTTATGGAAAATGTGAACATGTGTCGTTTAATGAGTGTGTGATTCGTAATGGTGGAAAAATATTTGTCAATCCAGCATTCCAAAATTCAGATGGATTACACAACTGGTTTAAGAACAGTAGCACCTAGCAAGAAAATTTTTCAATTTAGCAACCGATTTTGCCAAAAGAGGACAAGACTGCCATCTGATCCTATTTTGAGGAATAGTACTCCATGTGAACCTTTCATTACTCTTGAGATATGCATTTTCTATCTATTTTTAATGACCTGCAAAGTGAAGTGTGGGATGCGAAACGTGAGCTTGAATGTGCGTGTGTGGGTGTGACTGTGATCATGAGCGTGGATGTCCGTATGAGTATCTGTGGTCCGAGCGGCGCGGATATGATGTGGGTTTAGGTGTGAGTGTGGGCATGAATCTTTTCTTTAGCCACACCCCATCCATCCACATTTATACTCACATTCTATGCATAACAGCTTTCAGGTTACCACTACCAATGGTTTCTATCATGAATCAACAAGTAATGTTTCTTTGCTGTACAACAAGTATTTTTCCATTCTAAGATCACTACTAGTTATTGCCAGATGTTGCTGTCGCAGTTGAGAATACGGGCGAGGGAGCTATATTAACTAGCCCATATAAGAATCGATAAGAATTCAAAACTGCCGGTTTTTACTGGACGTCTTTTATGAGACATTCCTACGCTTTAAAGGAAAACGTAGATTAATAAGCCATTTAAGGGTTTATAAAAATTGAACGCATAATAAAACCATTTTATCGTATAGGAAAAGGCCCTAAACCCTTTCAAAAGGTTTTGGATAGGATTTAGGAAATGAAATTACCCTTTCATATACCCTTCTGAAGAGTTATTGACAACTCACTATGGACCGAAGTCCATGTCTTTATATCAGTGAAACGTTAGAGAAAATCTAAAAGAACACATAAATTCACGGAGTGACTGTGAGTGTGGGTTTCGTCATCGAAAATGAACCATTTTTTTATTAGCCATAAACCCTTTCGCTTATGAATCCTTTAAAGGTTTAACACATCAGCATAAACTCTCTAAGGGTTTAAGAAGACTTGCTGGAAGCGTAATGGTTTAGTGTTCAACTTTGTTTTTCAGTTAATCATGAATATCATCTTATTAGAGACTGATATTTCTTTTTTTTCAGTTGTATATTTACTTCATGAGTCTAGTAGTAAGAAAGAAGAGGTTCTTGTCACGAACGACACACTATCTCTTCGTCGTTGTTTGCGAAAGACAAGCGAATTGATAAAACACAAATTTGTCGATTTCAATCCAGGTAGCTGTTTCTACAAAACACTATATATGTGTGTGTGTTGACTGTTAAGACTATTTGTAGGAGCATAATATTACAGACGTTTGACGATGAAAACCATTGTGACCTTGCTTTTGATATGGTGTTCCTTGCTTCATACAGTTATTTATTGTTCCAATATGAAATACTTTCAAATTGTTAATTGTACACATTTTAATTTTATCAATAAAAGAAACCAAGTGAGTGTAGCACATAACCATTTTCTGTTTCTATAGTACGATAGTATATCGATGGAGGCCGAGGTTGAATGTTTTATGTGAGGTTTGGTTTATTTTCTAGAGTGAAAGTGTATTCTATTATCATCCAACAATAGAAAGATCGATAATAGGAACTTCGGAAGTTTTTAATATAATGGAGAATACACTTAGAGGTACTTGTAGTTCATTCTTGTGTTTATTTCGTACTACTCATTTATATATTGTTCTAGAGCCAGAACCAGAACCGGAACCATTAGAAAACGTGCTACTAACGGTAGCAAACGATCCAATTATTGGAATTTTCAATACTGTAGCGGGTGGTAATACTAATCTGGCTTCCCTAGATGGAAACGATGCTGGTAGTTACTATCCAAAAGAAAGTCCAGCACATGCAATTGATAATAGTGTCTGGACTAAATATAATAATCAAGGCAATGGACCACAATCAGTTTCATCTGCAACAAAAGGGGTTGGTACTGGATTTATAGTGACACCAAGATACGGATTATCAATCGTCACTGGTTTCCAGTTTGCAACAGGCAATGACCGTCCTCAACGGGATCCCTTGACAATTACTTTGGAATGTACCAATGTAACTCAAGACGATCGTTTAATTGGAAAAAACTGGAAATTGATTTATACGGGAGAAACAGGGTTAAAATCTGATCCTGGACGGTCGACATTTGGACGACGGCAAACATTCAATAACACCATAGCTGCGAAAAGTTATCGATTAATAGTAACATCGCAAAGACTTCCTGAGCACAGTATTCAGTATAGCGAAGCACATCTCTATGGAAATGTCATAATAACTGATATAGGTAACACTGAAAGCAAACATCGGGATCTCTTCTTACTTTTGAATAATTCAATGACCCATTTCGTTTTGCTTTGTAGTTCGTGAGTATATAGTAATGAATGTTCAATATGATATAGCTAATGCAGTCATATTTAATTCACAAAAGCCGACATCAGTTTTAGAAATTGATGCTACGAATTATATGAGTACTGAACAAAAAATGACCAAGTCAAGAACCATTGCAACAACAATAACAAATACATGGAGTTTTAGGCAAGCACTTACAGTAAGAGTTCTTACAAATCATTGTTTCTTTCTTTTTTTCACTAGCCCACTTATTCTTTAGATGGGCGTTAAAATATCCGTAACTGCTGGTATACCTAACGTTGCGGAGATGACGTATGTATTAATCACGTAGAATAAACATTTTGTACCTTTGAAATCAATGCTTTATGCCATAGAAGTGTTGAGACCAGTTTTGAACATACATTTGAAATAGAAAATGGTCAATCAATAAGTAATGAAGAAACATTTACATCTGAATTGGAACTGACTGCACCACCTCGTTCAAGAGTACATGCCACTTTAGGTTTATTAGATGGACAAGCTGATATCAAATTTACATCGACATTAATTACCATATATGAAGACGGTAGAAAATTGGTAGAACAAGGTGCCCAAGGAGTCTTCAGAAGTGTGTCTGCTCATAAGATGATAGCAACATACTATGAACCCATACCAATTGATATTGTTAGCAGTATTGGATAGATAAATCTATCGGACTGTTTATTGTGCCAGAAGCATATGCTTTCTCGGACAGCTGTCTTTTTCTTAGTTAGAATTCTTTAAGGAAAAGTTTTTCAGTGAAAATTAAACCAGAAGACGACTGTGGTAGTGAGTCTGTGCGTGGATGCGGAGTGTTGGGTATGGCATGGACGTGCAGTTGTGAAAATAAGATGGGTTTGGGTGTGGGTGTGCGGGATGTGGGTGTGGGTGTGCGTGTGCGGGATGTGGGTGTGGGTGTGAGTGTGGGTGTGAGCGTGGGTGTGGGGGTGCGGGATGTGGGTGTGGGTGTGAGTGTGGGTGTGGGTGTGGGTGTGAGTGTGGGTGTAGTTGAAGATAACACACACAACCACACCCCACACCCACACCCCACACCCACACCCCATCCACCCCCACCCACACCCACAGCCACATCCCACACTCACACCCACTCACATCAACACCCACACCCCACCCACTCCCACAGCACCCACACCCACACCCACACCCACACCCCACACCGACCCACACACCCACCCACACAACACCCACACCCACACACCCACCCATACAACACCCACACCCACACCCACATCCGCATCATGTAAGCCATTGGTTGAACCCATGCTAACGTTGCTTGCTGCGAATACAGCCTCTCGGGTTTTTCGCCGAAAACATGATGTGTTTGGACAAGATAAATTTGAGTGTTTACCTTCATTTGAGTAGTATGAATATGATAAGCAATCGAGGACTGATATCTTTTTTTTTAACTATCAGCAGTCAGTTTTTTCTAACTCGCAAAAAGAAACAGAAGACAGTCAATACTTAGGTGAAGTGAAACCAAATCAGTACATGTTGACAGTAACGTGATAAAAATTGCCAGTGCCACTGCGCAATTATGTGATCTGAGAGACAACGTTGTGAAGAGTAACAAATAAGAACATCAATGAAAGGCTTCCCCAATAAAGAAAGTACTAATAATGAGGGTACGAGGTTGGGGTGCAGAATGTGGATAGAACAGAGGTAATGCCTTGACTTGCATCCATTCACACTCACAATCCTCAATGATGCTAAGAAAAACCCATGCATCGGAATCACAGGATAAAATAGATTATGATGAACACATCGTTTAATATTATTCTTTTTTACATGAATATAAGTAGGCAGGGTGTGTGTGGGTATGCGGATGTGGCTATGGCTGTAAGTGTGAGGGTTCAATTGTGGGTAATTGGGACTGTTGGTGTGCGGGTGGCTGTGGGTGAGTGTGGATGTGTGGGAGTGAGTGAATGTGAGAAGAGAAGACTTACACTCACATCTTCCCAAATACCTACATCCACCCAAACATCCACATCCCACACCCAAACCCATAACCACACCCTTGAAGAGTTTATGAAAATTTGTACTTACTAGGGAACATTTCCAGGTGAAGGAGCGCTTTTCAGCCGAGGTTTTGCGCATCTTGTAGCCCATAGTGAGCTATGACTATGGTAAAAAAGTTCGGGTTTCTGGCTTGATTCTGAGGAGACATCAAGCTCCTAGTGAATTTTCTCTATAGTATGCCTACATTGTTAGCCAAGCTATACTTCCGAATTTTGACCTGAAACTTTGCTTGCATAAAGATCTAAGCCAGACTAGTTTGCATAACAGATTTCAGAAGTTTTGAGCAAAGTCTCTTTAAGATATGAAACTATCAAGGTATAGTCCCTTTTTCATAATAATATATATACTATGCATTTTTTTCAAAGCTTCGTATCTTAGAGAGACTTTGTTCAAAACTTCTGAAATTTGTTATGCAAACTAGTCTAGCAGAGGCCTTTATGCAAGCAAAGTTTCAGGTCAAAATTCGGAAGTATAGCTTTGCTAACAATGTAGGCATACTATAGAGAAAATCCACTAGGAGCTCGGTATCTCCTCAGAATCAAGCCAGAAACCCGAACTTTTTTTACCGTAGGCATAGCTCACTATGGGCTACAAGATGCGCAAAATCCCGGCTAAAAATCGCTCCTTCACCTGGGAATGTTCCCTAGTTAAAGCAAAGGTTTATTATTCTGCGCTTTTTTTTACAGTGCACACCCGACCACTGAAGTTCTAAGAGGGTCAAACGTAGGCAATATGCAAATTCGTAGAAACAGAATCATTCGCTAATCTCGATTGAAGGCCACTTGACTCATGCGAATGATACTTTAGGCTGGTATGGTTGAACTTGCAAATTAGATTTTTCTTTGAATTCTACGAAAATGGCGTAGATATCGGTTTGAAGATGTTGTTTGTCATGATCATCATGAAACTGATCTAGTGCTTCTCGAGTCAGAGGTTCATAAACAGTATAAGCTGATCGATCTAATGCAAACAATTCTTTCGCACCAAGAATTTTTTCAACGAATGGTGTAAGATCTTTTTGAGGTGCTCTGTCCGTCCACCAGGCTGTGTATTCAAAAATTAAATGATGAATGCGCTTTTCACGAAATAATTTTTCGGCCGAACGAAGTACATTTAGTTCGAAACCTTCGATATCAACTTTTAATATAAGAATCGATGATTGTGGTGACCAGTGAACATCATCGAGACGAATTGTAGATGCATACAATGTTCCATTCGATACTGTTGTTTCACCACCACCTTGAGAAAACTGTAGTTGAGCATTGGAAGGTAAATTATTAACAGCTTTTTTGCATAACTTGAACACGTGAAGTAGAGAAATTATTGAGTGCAATCGATGTTCGAATAAGATCAACCATATGTGGTTCTACTTCAAAAAGAAACACTTGACAGTTATATGCTGCCGCATATAATCCGAATTCGCCTGTAAATAGAAAAAAACGGGAATATTTGAGGTTTTACGCATATCTTCTCACATCACATAACACAGATAAAATTACTGCGTCGCTGTATTATATAAACCTCTTTCTGCAGATTCGAGCCATTTATTATATGGTCTCTGCCCCTTCCCAACTCAATAGAAGAGCCCATGAAGAAAACAGGCAGTGGGCTTAATAGAAGTCCTTCCTTCTCCTTTAATTAATTAGTTTTTCGAAAATTATGGGATTTTACCAGTATACACACATATGAAATATGTCCAGATTTTAGAAGATAATCTTCACATAGAGGGCGTTACAGTATATCTACTTGAGAAATAATTGTGGGAGGCGAGGTGCATCCTCAGAATACTTTCTCACAGAGATTTAAACTGTCACTAGAAAAAGAAATCCTCAAACTGAGATGAATTCTGCAAATGAAATTACTCTAGTATCTAGATACTGCAAAAGTCGGATTCTCTTCTTCCATTACGCATATGCAAAGAATGTGAAAGAGAAATAAGTAGGTGAAGTCAGGTTTGAATTCAGTTATATATGTATAGAGAATTTTATTACGAATATCTTCTAAGTACAACTGCAAGAGCGTTATTCAATTGTATACTGTTGTCAGTGGCATAGCCAGAAATTTCTGAGCGATGGGCCATTTCCCAGCTAAATTATTTTCTAGATTGGGCAACAATGGGCAATTCAAAATCGCTTGGGCTATAGTTTTTGTATATTTATTAGTATCACAAACATTATGTTCCCTGAAGAGAATTAAAAAGGAACAGTCATAAGTTTTTCGGATCCATTATCCAAAAAATCAAAAGTGAAGAGCAAAAAAAACCGTTTTTACCAATTTATTGGGCAATTACTATTGTCCGCAAAATTTATTGGGCAATAACTTTTGAACTATTGGGCAATTGCCCAATGGCCACCCCCCTGGCTACGCCACTGACTGTTGTATACAATGGGCCGAATCATGAACTGGAAGGTATTGGAGTGTAACTTTTTCGTGACGTATGGTGCGAAATATAGTACCATTTATATCATTAAATCACTTATGTAGAGCTGTTAAACATTGTAGGTGCATATGTTTTTTGGTCGACAAGCCTCTCAAATAAAAGTTAGACATCAGTTAGAGCGAAGAAAAATAGAATATTTCAAGATTATATCATTTGAAATGTTTTTGTTTTATGACTGCTAAAAAATAGGTTTTGATTTGTGCAATGTCGTTCAATGCAAATACACTTAAAAAGTCATAAAGGCTCCTATATTGTCCTGAGTTGACTGTTGAACGAATATGTTTGGTTGTCTTAGAGTAATTTTTATATTGACGCTTGATGGTTTTGTGAGCTTTTCAAGTCTGCTGACATAAATATATCAGATAATGTGTAAGGGAAAAAGTTACTAATAAATCATGCTGAGTTCAACGAGAAGAATAATCACAAATATCCTTGCATTTATATTCTTTCCTATAGATACATTTTTTTTTTGTTTTTCTGTTTCTTTCCTGATTTTCTTTTAAGTTCTAATTGGCTCTTATAACGTAAATGCAACATTTTTATCAGATGTGAATCGATATAGTATCATAACCTAATAACTATCAGATAAATTCATTCTAAGACTTGAAAAATATCTTCGTTGGCCGTCATAAGGAACTTGAAACGGATGTTATAGAAAACCGCTACAAGAATCGGCTTTTCGAAGTTTACTCTGAGTATCACTTGACGTATGAGTGACACATGTAAACGGTAAGATAGAGCTTCTAGAGTTGCATTTGGAACATGGCAGTGACTTTGAAAGATGCTCCTAATTGAATTCTGCTTGGATATATTTAAATCATTATCTAACTGCACCTACGTAAGAAAAATCAATTCACTTGATATAAAAAAAATATTATATAAAAAGAACTACATCTTATCAATCAATAATCAATTGCAGTAATTTTTATTCGAGCTCTGTAATATTTTGTAGTGCTGAATAAAATAGGGAGTGATTTAGTAGTTTCTCTTCAATAGATAAGTCATAGAAGCTGTGTAAGAAATTAATGTATTTACTAGTAACGGATAAGCAGCTTTTTATTCGAATCTCACACTTGAAGAGAACTTTTCTTAACCTAAAATTTCCCGAAATTTTCACAAACCTTAAAAATCAACGTCCTCATTTTCTTCGACACTTCTATACAAATGCACATTCATTTATAGATTTGGTAAATTTGATTTATCATGCGTGAATTGAAACTATTTACTTATCTAAGATTTCTTTTACAGTTAAGGTGAGACTATGTTAACAGTAAAAACATATTTAAAATACCTACCAACGAAGGCACCAACATCGACAATAATAAGTGATGGATCTTGTACGCATCTTTTCATTAATTGAAGACTATTCACAATAGCTTTTTGGGCTCGATCACCTTCTGCGTACGGTGGTTTCCCATTATAGGTAGCTAATTTAAAGGATGGAACACGATCGTTCATCTCTACCACTTTATATTGCGACGGTGCTAGTGTTGTGAAAAAGTTTGTTGATGATGATGGAAAGAATGCAACTGAATGCGAAATCGGCAAAAAATTATAATAGAGAAGTAACCCGATCCCAACCATGAATGAGAACAAAATCTTTAGTACATCTCGGAAGTCACACTCAATCATTGCTAAATGATTGGCAATATTTACAATTTGATGAGTAAAAGTAACGGTTTGATATTTTCTTTCTGAAAATTAAATATCATAAAAAAAATTGTCTCTTTGAATTTCATATTTCATCAAACAATTGCTGCTCATAGGTATTGAAATCGATGAGCCAATTAACTATTTGCCTTCATCACCTGAAAGTAGTCATATGATTTATAAAAGGAGCATCGTTTTTAATGAAACTTTCTATTAAATTTAACAAAAAACTCAATCTACCATTTTTCATCTGTAAATGACACCAACTCACACTAAAATGGAATGTGTCGCATGTGTCGTACTTTTTGACAGAATGTACGACACATTGAAGTAAGATGAGAGGTGCTCGTTTCGAAATATTTTGTTCAGCGACAACACAAAATATCCTTCTACAACACATTCGACACATTCTAAAAACGTGGTTCGAATCTAGTAGGCATGCATCGAGCCCAAACTTCCCGGGGTTCGGTGTTCCTGGGTTCGGACATTCCCGGTACCTAAATATTAGGTTCAGTTATTGTTGTACTTTGGCCTGCATTAGGCATCGAAAGAAATCGGGAACACCAAACCCGGAACTGACCGAACCTCGGGATTTCCGATCTGTTCCCTGGTTCCGTGCACGCCTAGAACCTAGTATGCGGGGCATTTTTATTTTTTCTTCTGTAAGAGAAAATTATGACGTTTTTGAAAAATTTAGTTTGATGCAATTACTCCTATTCTAAAAGTCAAACACATCAAATCTAAACATCTACCCGTTTCGAGTTGGTCCAATTTTCATCAGACCGTTTCAGGGCAGTTTTCCTTCGGTGATCTATCAAGATCAGCATGTTCTCAGCTAATAGATAATCTAGAAATAATGTAGAGAAAAAGACACTCGAAAATGCACGAATGCCAAATGTTCAGTCATGTTGTCGATATGTAACTCGGCGTACGAAAGAAAGCGATCAATGAATAATCAGAAGATAGGCAACGGCGAATTGATAATATGACACATTCTAATTATGGAACATTTGTGTGATGAAGTCTGCGACACTCTAAGTGGTAACACATTTCTGTTAGTGTGTTCCCATTTCTATTTTTCAATACACTGTTTGTTCCTTATTAAAGTGACCGTTCAGAGAAAAAAGAGTTTCTTGATTTTATGCCAGAGTTCTCGAATAATGTATTTAAAAATATGAGAATCAATATTTTATATTCTTTTTTCTTCTTTTCCAAATTCGTCGAAGCGAAACTTCTGATGCCAACAAACTATATGTAGTTGTCTTTTCTCTTTATCATTGTCAATTGACTTCGTCTCAAAGCAGAGTTGCAAGTAGCAATAGTGAACAACTGATTGGGTACAAAATTCTTTAAAGACGAGCGCAGCCTTCTTCGAGTGTCCGCATTCAAATCAGTTTTACTGATATCATCAACTACCACTGTGCATATGTCGCCTCTTTCTAAACAGATACATCTCAAATGCAGCGTATAAGTTGTACTAAAAAGTCTGATCGATCTAATAGAAACCAATTATATACGGTTTCATCTTATTTTTTATGAGTCACGTTGTAGTCCTGAAACTAGGTCACACAGTGGCTATACAAAAGGAAGTATTTGTAAGAGTGTGACTCATATAAAATTGTGTTACAATCTATAGAATATGTGGTATAAATGCACTGTTTTTGGAGTGTGCGTGCGGTTGTGAGTGTAGGTATGGGTGTGGGTGGGTATGGATGTGAGTGTGTGAGATGTGGGGTGCCGATGTAAATGTGGACTTGAGTGTGGTGGTAGGTCTGGCCTATTGAATGTATTGAAGATATATACCCCGACCCCACACCCTTTATCGACAATATACTATAAACAAACAAATAGATTAATAAATTATTATTAAAATAAATAATAAAAAGAAACATACTCTTGCTTCACCAATAGTTTCATATGGTGACTGCTTTTACATGTAAACTATTTTCTTTGTTATTCGAAATGCAATTATTTCTTAAATATAGTTTTCATCACATTATTTTTCAATATAAAAGTAGAAAATTTCAAAAAGATGTTATTTACGATTAAAGTAAATGCAATAAAATTTAGATCAAATTTAACCACAGGTAAACTTTTTAAATTCTTTATAATGATAATTTCATTCTATTTAATAATTATTTGATGAAGAATTAGTTTCAATTAAAAATTTCAGACATGAAAGAAATAATTTCCCAAGATTTCATGAGCAATCGAAGTTCGAACAATTCCATCTCACCCAAACTGACGTGGATGACGAATATGATGAATTATTTCTTCATGTTTTACAACTATAAAAAAAACAAATAAACTATCGATCGAATATTTTATATGAAAACCTTTTTTTTTGAAACATTTTAATTAATGTACATGATGTACTTGTTAAATCCGTAGCATCACTTGCAGGTCTTCCATGAGGACCAAGAATACCTTTGCCTAAACCTTTAATAACACCCTTTACATTTAACATGATATCCTAGAATTATTAATTGAAAGATTAATTAAGAAGAAAATAAAGATAAAAAGTTTAACCGCATTTTTTTTTCTATTTGAAACAAATTCCGGTGTTGTTTTTGCTTGTAGTTCTTTTCGTTGTATTCGAACATTATAATAATTTTTCTTAATGTTAATTTAACTAACACCTAACAAATATCTAGTACCAGTTGTTATACCTTCAATAAATTCAATTATTATTTTCCATTACGCTCTTGAAAAGAAAATAGATTTAGTTTTTATTTAAACAAATATTTTTCATTTGTTTTATGTGAGTCATAAAAAAAATGATTCAACGCTTTCAGCAACACTGAATAAACACCAAACGAATTTCCAAGTACAACAACATGAAGTTAGTTTAAAAATTAATTTTCATAATGATTACTAATTTCTCTTATTAATTTTGATATTATATATCGATCAATTTTTTGTTGATAAAAATTTACTCTGAAATTTGTTTTTTATTCTTTATCTTTGATAATTTTTAACATAACATCTTGAATTTTAACAATATTTAAAATTTCTAATAGGAAATCAACTAATAGATATTCAGCTAATAATTGTTCACTGGATTTTGAATCATGAATTGAAAAACTAACATGAATCTAAAGAAATATTTTTTCATTAAAAATATTTTTCTTTCTTTCAATGTATAATCTCTTTCATCTTTGATGAATATTTCTAATGGATTAGATAAACGTTCTAAATCAATATCCATATTAACTGAAGTTGCTGCACAATTCTGAAAGATTTCAAAAGTTAATACAAAAAAAAAACTCTATTGAACCTTGTCAGGTTTCACAAATGCAATAACGGCTACTACTAAATCTTGATCAACAGCAAAAGCAAATTCTTGAATTAATAATTTAAAATATCTTCAAATTAAAAAAAATAAATCTTTTCTAAGGAATATTTATTTCTAAATACTTGATATAAATTGTATTGAATCGAACTGATGGACTTTTAAATGTACTTTATTCAATAAATGATTTACCAGCTATTAAATAAATAAATAAATTTATACGTATATCAGTTGCTGTTACTTGTGAAACAATTCGATAATGTACAGTTGGAAATAGTTATTTTTTAATTGATTATCCGTTTTGTACATGATTGGTTTTTAAATGAATAGCCATATTGCTTATTGACCATCTATAACCAATTCATAATTCATCAGGTGATTAACGTTTAATACATATAGAACTACCTTCATTATCATTTAGTTCAGCTATATCTTCATTAAATGAAATATACTTTAAAAATCAAATCGATATACATTTGTTTAATTATTTAAGAGCTGATCCATGAGACCATCACCCAAGGTTGTAATCATTCGTAAGTGAGAATTTTCTCGCTGCTCTAAACGATTGGATGATACCGTTGTTATTGATTGCCTTCGATCTATTATTTATCTTCAGACCATTAGAGTTACATACAACTAAGAAACTAGACATAAACATATGTAACGTCACTGATATTCGCTCTTTACGCATGACCAGTTTTTCACGTGATCGTTTCATACAAAATATATGATGTTCAAGCAAGAGACGAAGGTAGTTACTTGTAAGAGAACGAACATGAATAGAAGGAAAAATAAAACATGATAAAAAAAACTGGTTTTGGTCCGAACGCAATCAGTCTTCCATCATTACATTTCAACGACTACATGACGACGACGTTTTCAAAAACCGAAGAAATGGCTAAGACATTGCCTGTCACTTCAAAAGATGTAACTGCTTCATCATTGTATACTACAGTCAAACTTTCACCGATAGTTCAAAATTTTCGCCTCATTTGGCTAGTTGCTAATATCAACAGATCGAATCCAGACTGTTGCAACACACTTACTCGTTTAAGACGTGTTGTCAGTAGTATTGATACATTTACTGCTATCGATCCATGTGTGAATTTTCTTAAAAATGTTCGCGACGAAAAAGCTTTCATGGTTGTATCTGGTAGTCTTGGTCAAAGCGTCATGCCCATCGTTCATTCAATGGCTCAACTCGATTCTATCTTTATTTTTTGTAGTAACAAAGCCCGCTACGAACATTTAATGACTGAGGGGCCTAAAGTGAAGGGTATACTCACCCATATCGATATGATTTATAAATCATTGTATCAAACTACATACCATTTTAATCAAGATTCAATGCCAATGAATTTTCTTTCAGCTAGTGGCGCATCATCATCCGGTACAAATCTGAACCAATCTGATTTAAATTTTATGTACAGTCAATTATTCAAAGAGATGTTATTGAACATTGATGATGACGATGCACGATCTATCAAAGAACTTGTTGAGTATTGTCGCGAGAAGTACAGCGACAATCAGGTTGAATTAAAAAAGATTGACCAATTTGAACAAGAATATCGACAGCATCCACCTATCTGGTGGTACACTTGTGAATGTTTTATCTATCATATGCTTAATCGAGCTCTGGGTACTCTTGATGTGGACATTATTCTCAAGATGGAATTCTTCATCGAGATCTCGAAAAGCTACCCTTGGAAAAGATCCATAGCTATAGTGGACAATTTTTAACTGTCTATCGGGGACAAGCGTTTACCAATGCCACAAATTTGAGAAATTGAAGGAGATGGAAGGTGGATTGATTTCATTCAATAATTTCTTATCTACTAGTCAAAATGAAGATGTATCGATTAATTTTAGTCGGCGGCGTGGTCTTGAAAAGAAGCCGGACTCAGTGGGTGTAGTCTTTCACATGACTATCGATCTAACAATGGCAGCGATTCCTTTTGCTGCGATTGAAAAAATCGGCAATTCCGAATCGGAGAAAGAAGTTCTCTTCTCGACGCATTCTATCTTTCGCATTGGTAAGATTACTCCGATCGATGATAAAAATATGTTGTGGCGAGTGAATCTTACTATCACAAATGAAATCAATTCACATCTTAGTGTACTTATTGCTGAAACGCGAGAAGAGATTTCTACTGCGAAAGGATGGTATCGATTGAATGAATTACTGATCAAACTTGGTGAACTTGACAAAGCTCAAAAAGTATGCAATCTACTTAAACAGAAAAATACTGAAGCTGGCAATTCAGCACTCTATTTTCAACTTGCACAAATTGCGCGTGGTAAAGGTCAATGTGACGAAGCGGCTGAACTTTATAATAAATCAATTCAAGTTAACAAAAAATCATCTAAGGATAATAAAAAGGAAACATTCTGATTATTTCTTTTACGTAGAACAGAAAAGTTTTGAGACAATCGAATAAGTGTAAAATTATCGAAAGTTTTTTCCTTTGATTTCAACCGAGATCACCAAATCAGGTTGATGTTATTGAAATAATTTGTATAGCACAAATTCATTTTCTATGCTCGCTTACAGCTTCAGCACTCAATCGAATACACAAACATCCTATGTTCGAAAGTTTGACATTTTTCAACATATCTCTTGAGAATCCTAAACAAAACATATTAGAAAATACGTAGAAAAATGATACAAATGAAATTCATTTTAATGAGACAGCAACTAGTGAAAGTCCATTCAGATACTCGCCGTAGTCAAATACTTCGCTAAGATTGTCAAGACAATATCCTACATATAGCCAGTGTCTTCGGGGCTTTTCGCTTTCGAGATTTTGTTCTTTCCTACTCGTTTTCTACATGTCATCCAACTGTCACATGGTTTTTAATCTGTAATTGGCTTTACGACGGATCTTCAATACTTCATTCAACTGCATGTATATGCTTCAATGAATGTTTATTAAATAAATCTTTTGATAAACGAAGAACAAAATCTATAACCAAAGAAGAAAGGTAAAAATATTGGCGAGAGTGGCGGGTGTAGGTAGAAATGTATTTCCATCCACACCCGCAATCTTAATAACTATGGTTATCAACAACAAGCTAATTCAGGATGGGATTCAACTAATAATGATTGGAATCAATTTGAACCAAGTTATTAGACAGAAACAAACTTTTTTATATTTCAAATAAAAAAAAACAATCTAATTATTCGACATAGCAACTAAATCGAGTACAGGCGATCCATCTTGTCCGACATATTTCGTTATAATTGCAGTTATTTGTCCACGATGATGAGTATTATGATTAAATATATGATCTAAGGCTTCAGCACGATTACGTTCTTGTTTTTTACCTTTGGTATCAATATAGGGAAATTTTTCTTCCATCATTAAGCTTTCGGAATTTAATTCTTTTACATAATCAATCCATCGATTGCATTCGATTATGATTTGATCATGTACATCTTTACGATCTTTAATTGCTTGTTCCCATTCATTTGCTGAACGAGACCAATATGAATTTATTTCATATGGATATTTTTCATCTTTAAGAGGATTTGATGATGAACTAGTTAGACGAGAATACCAAACTTTACTGGATAATAATAAATGAACTAATGTACCATGAATTGATCGAAAATATAGACCATTATCAGCATGATAATGTTCATTAGAAATATGTTTATCTAATTTATTATAGAGTTGTTGAAAAGCCCATCGATTATAGGTAGCCATGCGAATAAAATGTTGCTTGTTAGTACGCTTGCTGGTGATCTAAAGCATAGCAAGAAACACCAATCAATGTTGAAATGCACTATTAAAAAAAATGTTTCTATCCCAAATAATTTTATGATAGAAATTAATAAGAACCGATCCTCTTTCAAAGTATGTATTTATTTTTCGAAAAAAATCAGTCTCATTCGATAGATGACGCTAAACTACGGTAGTTGTTTAAGTTGAATTATATATTAATTCTGTTCATCATTTTTATCTACTCACAAAATATTTTCTTAATGTGCTGAACTTTTAACAAAATAAAACCATATGTTAGCTCTGTTTAATTGTGAGATTTTTATTTTTTATTTAATCATTGACAATTAACAAAAAATCATATAGTACGACTATCAAATATAATGAAAGTAAAAAAAAATACATAAATGATATGAAATAGAAAGACACAAATAATCTCAATAAAAGAAAAAAATATTTGAAAAAATTGTTGATTGTATTGTTTATTCATCAATATCCTAAAAAACAAAAAGAATTTCAATATTCTGAAGAAAACAATAAAACTTGAAAATGAGGAAACGATATTGATGACATATTTCCGTCGAAAGCATGATTATTTTGTTTTTCTATCACTTGTCGAGCTTTGTTTGTTTTTGATTTTGTTGTTCGAGGTGTGGATGTTGCTGGTTGAGAAAACGACATTGATGATGAAAAAAGACTCTAAAATAAACATAGAACAGCATTAATAAAAATATTTTCGGTTAACTTACAAATGATGATTCTAAGCGATTATCAAATGAATTAATTTTTTGAGATTGTACGATTTTATTTTTAGTTGAATATTCAATTGCTTGTAGTTCGCTTAACTAAAAGACAAAAAAACAAATGATTCATCAAAATTATTTAGACTTACTGATTTATGAATTGTTCGTCTTTTTCTCTCTGAAACAATCGAGTTTTCTTTGATTTTCTCACACGATCTTTTACAATAATTATGCGTGCTATTTTATTTCTATCTTCATTCGCATCATTCCCACCAGGGTTTCCAATGGAAATCGAAGACAAAATGTACATGTACACTTTGCTAATATAGTCAAAATGTACGTTTACACTTCGTTTTTGGTACCAAGATGTACAAAGTGTACTAAAAACTAATGTTTTTCCAATATAAGAAACAAAAGACAACGTTTTTAATGAGGAGTATAAATTTATAGTTGGCAAATAGACGAATAAAAAAAAGTGCACTTTCCCAGAATCTGACAGTCTATTTACGAAGAAAAAATTAAGAAAAAAACTATGAGTTTATACCACAAATATAGCAATTTTTATTTAGAATTTTTTTTAAACACAATATCACTAAAACATTTGTTGTCCTGATTATCACCTTCGCCTTCATATGGATAATTAAAGTCAGATCGAAACTATAAAGATTCTATCCTTTTAACATTTTTACGTATGAACGATAAATCTGTAATGTTTGAAAAAAATTGTTATTAGCATCGCTAGGAATATAACAAACAGAGAGTCGTTTTAGAATTAGAACTAATTATTTATCTAGAGAAATGGCGAGAAGACAAAATAAAAGAAATTATACTGGTCATTGTTAGTTTTACTCAAGATTGGGAGGTAATAATCGACTATTTTGCAAAGAAAGTCTCTCTTTGATGTTAATATTACATATAACTTTTAACGTTGTAGAATCAAAATATAAATTTTTGTAGCAGAGTGTACAGCGTACATTTTGTATTTTTGAGCAGTGTAAATCAGGATGTAAATCAAAAATAGCAGATTTTCTGTACATTTTGCTTATGCTGTGTACACCTGCTGTTGGAAACACTGATTCCCACCGTCCATTATCCAATCAGACTAAGCGTCTATAGAGGTCATTGCTTGTACTCGTTGATTTTTGTATGTTAATAAGATTTTATTTCACAGAAAAAACTCATTTATGATGTACTATTTTTGTGGAAAATTTCAGTTTATAAAAACCAGTCTCATCACAAAGTGCATTAGTGGGCATAGAATTCAACATTCATTCAATGATTCATTCGCATGTGTCGGCAGACTATGTATGCATTCATTTTATTTTATAAATAATTTTATTTTATCTAGATAGTGTACGCCATAATTCGAGTACGCATTGTGAATTGCCTTTATTAAAGCAGCTATTATCTCAATTTTATCATATACTCTCAGACGACAAGGCCATCTATTGATAAGTAATAAATCAATTTATATTCATAGACTGTTTTGAAAAGATTTTCTCAATACTAGCAACGTGTGGGATATCTCATCAATATAGTTAAAAGTGAATCTTTCTATCAAAGTTTAAAAAAATTTCAAGGTAAAATCATTTGATCTTGATTAAGGTTAACAATTTAGTTCTATACTTCAATTTGATTGAGCATTTTTTGTGATAATAAATCATCGTTTATATGAAATATCTATTAAACGAAAAAAACAAAGGATTAACATGACATTTTATGTGGTTTTTTAGTTTTAGATAAATTTTATGTCCTACTATAAATAACGCAATTATGTTCTTATAATGGATTATTGATACAAACGAAAGGAATTTTAATCTTTCATCTGGTATATGATTCTCATTAAAACAAGAGAAACTAAATTTTTAAAGTTACTTTTAATATAGTAAAAATGAACTATCTTTTTCAGCATAGTTATCAGCTAGAACTCATTTTATTAGAACCACACCTACTCACGCGCACACACTAGCTAATCGATAAATAATCTCGAAAAAAAAAAGACATACGAAAACACAAGAGTTGCATGTTCAGTCGAGTTATCAAATACCTACCTATATGTGCAAAATAAAACTGTGAATGGATAATCAACGGAGGATGTGGGTGTGAGATGTATATAAAATGCAGACTCACACACATACCCATGCTCTCTTCCGCATCCTTTAATTTAATGATAAGCATAGATATTAAATCTTTCACAAATCATTTGACGATAATATGTTTATAAGTTATGTACAAACAATCAAGATATCACAAGCGAAAATGAAAGAATAAATACTATATTCGATGGTAGACAGCATATGAATACAAAAGAATACTAAGTAGATTCTCGAGTTCGTTGATAATAGTACTTGTTAGAAAGAGCACAAGTGTGTAGAGAAATATAAGAAAAGTGATGACTATGGAACAACGGTGTAGCTTGCTTGCTTGCCCGTTATTCTATGAACGACAAACTTAATTCCATCAAACGAGTA